GTGTGTGTGTGTGTGTGTGTGTGTGTGTGTGTGTGTGTGTGTGTGTGAAAAGGATAAGAGAGAGAGAGAGAGAGAGAGAGAGCGAAAGCACAAGGCCTTAGAACTACAAAGTTGGGTGATGGTTTTTTTTAGCCCCTTCAACAAATAGCATGACATTTTTTGGAAATACACTTGTTCACTTTCCTGCCGATTGTCAGATAAAAGGATTGAAACCACTCTCATGTCTGTAGAGTAAATATAAAGCTACAGTCCAGAGACAGTAAGCTTAGCTTAGCATAAAGAATAATAAATGTCCTCAAGAGTGAAAGTATTCTCATAGTAATAATAATACTGCTGCAATTCCTGGTCTGACACCCTAGATGCTACAAAATTCAATAACTTTCTTTTCAAAGTAAATATCAAGGTTGAAGGCGTACAAGCTTTGACCCAGACACGTCTGTTTAATATTAGTCAAACATCAATACCCACTCTTCTACATTCTGTTGACTATATCTCAAAAATCAATGCTGTGTTTTCAGTAAACTTGTCTCTTGCCAGATTGATGATGTGATTCGTCTTTCTAGTTGATTATGTGGCCACTTTGTCGACCTTAATTGATTGAGTGAGTTACTTTGTCAATGCAGGTGCACCAGAAATGGGACCTGTTGCAGGCACACACATCAGCAGAGACGGCCATTATTCATGCCGCCCACAACAGAGGCAGAGAAAGAGAGAGGGGTGGCTGTAACAAAAGTAATTAAGAAGTGTGAAAAGGCGCATTTCATTAAAGAGCCGTCCAGAGCGGCGCCTCCTGGGATGATGAAACATTTTCCCAACAGTTAATTGAAACCACAGCGCAAACCTTTAGATTGGAGAAAGGTCAGGTGAGGGGAGAGAGAGGGGGAGAGGGGGGGAGAGAGGGGGAGAGAGGAGAAGGCGTTCTGTGTGGCGACCGAGTGTGCGCACCTCTCGCCTCCTTTTCTCTGAGAGTTGAGGTTAAAATGATAGGTTTCCTCCAACCTGAAGAGGAGGTTGGACAGAATATAGAAAGAGTTGGTGGCTCTCTTGAGAGAAACACAGTGCTTCAAAAGAATTAGCCTTTACATTCAATGCAGCCTCCATCTCTTGCCTCACCTCCTCCCTTCATGTGCTCTTTCTTACCCTCGTCCCTCTCCACTGTATTGTCAGAGCGGTGTCACGATGCAGCAGAGCGAAGAGCCTCACATCCTCTCTCTCAGCATGTGGGTGTGTTTTCAATGAGCTCCAGCGACCACAGTAAATGTACAGAACACAATCGGGGAAATGCATACAAAGACGAGTTCCACATGATGGTGACCTACTGACAGCAACAAGAATAATTCCTTTATTTGTTGGCTATAAAGAAAAAAATGTCAAATGTGAGTTGTTGGTGGAAAGTTTCAATTCTGCTCACATCGAGTTCATATATCAGCCGACAGTCAATGGCGCATTATAGTGAGATCAATCAAGAGTATGCATATTAAACTCCTGATTGCCTTTTACCTTTTACCTCTTGGCCAGCACCACTATTATGTTTTTATACGAGGAAATAATTGGAAACTTCTTGGGAGAACGCTGTTTCCTCTGGCAGAGTTTAGTCCCACCATGATGAATCTTTTTGTCATCAATGCCAGCTGCATTAAGTAGTACTAATTCGTCATATCTGACAACAAGGGCATTCTGACGAAGCAATAAAGGCCCTGCGTTTGAAAGGCATCAGTGCTGCTTTCCATGACTTTGCCCTCTTGCTCTCTCTCTCTCTCCTTCTCCCTCTACCTCTCTTACCACTTCTCATTTCTCTTGCTCTCTGCCACTTCAGTGCTCTCTCCATCCCTGGGAGATTTATTGTGTTCCCCTTGCCTTGCACACTCTGAGCAATTGATAAAACAGCAGCGTTTACCAAGACGACAACTGTGTAACGCGTCCCGCTGCTTTGTCTTGCAAGCTGAGCATTTAATTTGCGGAGAGGTCTCTGCGTTGACAAACAACACTAGTGCGAGCTGTTATGTATTGCATTGTATAACACTCTTTGATATCATCCCACTGGAGATCTCTATTTGTAGTATAATGAACAATGACTGCTTTGCGATTGGAGTCATCTCAGCCTCTGATGCATCTCAGCGCTTGAAGTCTGAAAAGTCACAGGCTCAGTTGAAATAAGGACTAATAAAACTGAGCTACACTTGCATTGTTTGTCTCTGCTGTTGTGGAGGAGAAATATTTCTCTTAATCCCTACTGCAATATCTCTGTGGCTCGTAATCTGCGGCAAGAAAAACAATCGTCTCGCCCGAAGGCACGACGAACGTCCTGCCGCAGTGAGCAAATATGTTCAAGCAGATCCGTTTTCCGAGATAAAGCCTCT